GATGATGAATTTGTGATGGATAATTATCCTGCTGAGGGCGGTGCCCCTAGCTTAGCTGATAAGGGAAAAATTAAAAAGTGTCCTTATCCCTATCTATTTAGCCCCTAATTATATTTGGGCTAATATCGGCCCGTATATCTAACGGGTTTTTACGATAAAACATGACCGCGCAGGGCCCAATAAGAAATATGACCGCGCATGGCCCAATAATAAATATGACCGCGCAGGGCCCAATTAATAAATATTTGGGTTGACTGACAAATTGACTGGTACTCCGACTAGTATTTGTCTTGTCAGCAATTGACGTGTCTGTATAAGCGGCTTCTTTGTGATATCAGGGTCGAGCTGGTGGTCTTTGAATACGGACCTTGTCTTCTGGGAACTCGACCAATATTAAACATATAAAAGAACCTGCTATTTTATATTTATTTTAATATGTATATCCACGTGTAATGCTTTAATAGACGAGGCCAAAATTAGGTAACAACAAGTTGTATGTGGGAATTTAGGTTTAGTTAAGTTATTTAAATAATAGGCGACAAAATAGATGATAGGTGCTTCGGCCCCACACCGTTCCAACTCATCCGCCACCAAAAGGGAGGAAATACACGTCGACAAATAACAAGTAGAACTACGAGAAGAAAAAAGTACTATTAAAGAAAGGGCAAAGAATGCTGAAGCCACTGAAGCCGATAGACGAAGAATGTGCAACAAAGATCATCCTCTGGACAGGGACATGCTGGTGAAAAGTCCTTGCAAACATTGACGGTCGATTGGTGAGTCACCCCTAGCATCGAGAAAGGTCAAGCATATATGTTTTCAAAAAATGATTAGCTCTTCTTACTCCCAATGGGTCCATCAAACCAGAAAAGAAGAAGAAAGGACTAGAACAAGGAAGTTCCTTTCCCATATCTGGTCTTTGAAAGGTCAGATAGGTCCGATCTCATGAGGAAAGAAAAGATCTGATAAAAGACAGAAAAAGGGCTACCCACGTATCTGCCTTTTATCGCACGTTTGAATATGCCCCTGTGTGATTATACCTCACAAAAGAAAAGGGTGAAGACCCTATATTTATCGATATAGAGTTAGAATAAGGTGATGGGATTGGCTTTTGCTTCGGAACCTTATTATTATTATTAATATTTTTTAAGTAGTAGAGTTTTGTCTCTTTGGGGAGGGGGGAATAGAGGAGCCTTTGGCTTAGGTAGGAGAAATCCTGATTGGTGTCCGCGCTTGGTGCAACTCGCCTGCATTTGTTTGAATTCTTTCCATTTCTTTCATTTCAATTGCTTATCAGTTTTAGTTTTAGATTTCTTCTTGTAATCCACCCTTCACTCTATCACTTTTGGTTTTATATTCCACGTTAGTTGTTCATATTGTATTACTAAGCACATGTTAGCCTAGTTGTTGACATTTTTATCCCTTTTAATTTTTACCTTTTTGATGTTGTACTATGCACCCGTGGGCTTAGTTCCTCTTTTGATTGCAACTCACAGGTATAATGATTATATATTACTCATATTTTGATCTATTTACAGGTTGGGAATCCGCTTCGCCTACTTACACTCGTGTGGATGGATCTATTTGGCTATCATTCATTTTGCTATCATTAGACTAGGCCCTTAAGTCTTGGTTTTATATTTAGACCCGGACAGATCCATAAACTAATAGTAGACTGGATAGTTTCATAAAAATAACATAATATTTTTTTTCTTATAATATTCTCTGGAGTTGTGTTCGACGAACTTTTACAAAGTAAAATTCATGAATAATATAATCTATACCTACACTACTATAAACTCTTGTTCGATGAAGAGCACTAAACAATCTTGTAAGCTGCTACAAGTATATAATAAATGTACATAGAGGTGTACATAACACTCACATGGAGTGGGGTCCACTTGATTTTTTTATTTTTGGTGGGTCCCACATTGAGTGAGTATTATGGACTCCCATATGTACAATATTATGTACTTATAGCATTACTCAACAATCTTAGAGAAAACTATCCCAGTCTTATGACGAAGTGCTGACTTCACATGCTTCATGGTTGAATAAACTCATTCGATTATAGCAATAGAAACTGGTAAGGTCATAACTAAATGGATAATTCTAGTTAACATAGCATACACCTACGATCTACCACCCTCTGTCAATTTCTGGCATAACTCAACGAGCGTAGATGCTTGAAATTAATATTAGGCACAAACTGTGAAATATTTGTTTAGCGGTCATCACCTAATATCCGTTATTATTTGATAATTGAAATTAATAAATCCACATTATATGACATGTTATATTGTGGCATGGCTTATGATACCCTATCGGCACCATAAAATTTCTGTAGTATTTTCGGAATAAGAAAATAAAATGAGTCATTTTCAATGGCCTGATTTATTAAGATGGGCTAGGAACACTATTAAAAAATTGAAAGCTAATACTTGTTGAAAAAAATTAAAAGGCCAGGACGTTAGCCCAACTGTCCCTGACTTGGACCACATCAGTTGTGCAGATTGTATTACTAAAAGCACCTGTTAGTCCAGTTCTTGACATTTTCTTTCGTTTTAATATTTACCCTTTTGATTAAGTGCTTAGTGCATGCTTGGGTGCAAATTTTGTTTTTTTAAAAAAAATATCAGTAATTTTTAATTAATTGATTTTTTTACTCAACTTTTAATTTAACTCAACTATCATCAATATTTATTATCAATATAAAATATTTAATATTAGTATAAATATATAATACCGCTCAATCATTCTTACATATTAAATTAACTGTAATTCATTATCCATCCACTCACAGAATTTTAATTAATTATCACTTCACATAATTTTTCTCCTACTTTTACATCAAATCAATTTTAATTATTTTATTTCAAGATATAAACTCAAAGTCCCACAAACGACTAATTATACCGTTTTTTTTCAAAATTAACTATACCAAACCAAAAAAAATTCAAACAAACTCAAAGCATCGTATATCCAAACATCCATCCGTGGGCTTAGTTCCTCTTTTGATTGAAACTCATAGGTAGACTGATCATATTTTCGTTTCGCGTTAGGAAATTTGATCGATTTACAAGTTGGGAATGCAACCTCGACTAGTACAACACTCGTGTATTATACGGGTGCTTGTTAAAAAAATATTTTTAAATTTTAAAATTAATGAGAAAAATTATTTTTAATTATATTTACTTTTTTAGAAAAATATATATTGTTCTATATATTATAGAATGACACTTGTTACTTTGTGCAACTTACATGTGTTATTATAGTAATTTTTATAACTTATATCACATAATTACTTAAAATATAAACATATCAATTGATAAATAATTTTATTTTTTTAAATAATATTAAAACTATTTTATTATTGTTATAAAGATAAATACAATTTAATTAATTTTTTATACATACAATATGAATGTTAAATCGAAGTTCATCAAGAGATGATTGGTTTGATATATTATATATGTAAAACTGATAAACAAAATTTATTAACTTTAAAATATATTTACAATTCAATGGTGATAATAAGAAATGATATAAAAACTCAATTAATACATGGAACATGACCATAAATAATCAACATATTTATGAATAATACAGACATAATTATTTTTGGGTCGGAAGTAATATAAAATCTACACAACCTAATAACAAAACATGTAATTTTACCACATAGAATCCCGAAACATACCAGCTTGCCACTTAAGCTCATCACATTTTGATATCACGTTTTGAATTAATATATAGGGGATTCTTCATCCTTCGGACGTGCTATCTTAAAAACAAAACCGCTGGATGTGGATAAATTGCACGGATCAACTCATCTGTAGAAACATGAACACAAGACAAGCTACAACACCGTGTGAATTGCAGAATCCCGTGAACCATCGAGTCTTTGAACGCAAGTTGCGCCCGAAGCCTCACGGCCGAGGGCACGCCTGCCTGGGCGTCACGCATCACGTCAAAAAAA